TTGTTTTGGACTTGTTTATCCGTCCGTGTCTGAAAAAAAGACAGTTTTGGTAAAAACGAATACACACTTCTACGCCAGAGAAACTTTTTAAAAAAGGATGAACTTTAAAATGAAAACCCAGTAACAAAACCATAAAAATTCCTTTTTACAAAGAGTGATATTTCTAAGACAATCAAAGAATTTTATATCATAACGAAAGTACTTATCAGATGATTGGTTCGAAAAAAGATGAAGTCAATCATGAAAAGGTATGAAATAAATCATCGAATGTAAACAGGTATATCGATTATAATTCCCGAGAGAAAAGATATAAAATTGTCAAAGAGCAAATTTGATTAATCAGCAAAATTTAAAGTGATAAGAAAACACTGAAACGTTCGTGCAGACAGACGTAAAAACCCAGAGAAACAGAAGAAAGATAAATGATAAATAAAAACAACTGAATAATTCTATAACATGATAATAATATAAACATTGCCATCTGATGATCAATAAATACGCATCGGGGCAAAAGAAATGCATCAATGATTTCTTGTCGAAGGGTGGGGTTCTATTCTTGGTAATAATATTTTACACAAAAATATTAACATATATTAACATTGAATTAATTAACAGCGGCGATAAATATTTACATTCTCATAGAAGCTCCACATCTCTGAACTCACATTCACTTCAAACCTTAAACAGAACATAAGGGTGTTCTAATAACTTGGTCCGATTTTAAATTTGAATTAAGATTAAGAGTTTAATGATTTTTTTTCTTTTTCTTATAGATTTAACAATTTAAGTCTTTGGCAATTTCAAACATGGAAAGATTAGCAATCAAGGAACGTGCTAAAACATTGCTGAAAACATTGCTGCAATGCACGAGAATGTGGCCAAAAATCCAGACACCTCTACTTGTCATCGCGCGCAGAAATCGAACCTCTACACAACAATATTACAATCTATCCAATTGCAATTTTGGTCGGTCGATTAAATTGACCAAAAAATCACGAATTGCGTGAAATGCATTTCTGTTTGAACATCCATTTAGGTAATAGGTTTCGATACCTTTAACACGTTGTTTCATTGTTAATCTTTCCATGGTTGAAATTGCCAAATACTTAAGTTGAAAGAAAAGAAAAAAGTCATTAGACGCTTAAAATGAATTCACATTTAAAATGGGTCCAAGTTATTGGACCACCTTTTATATTCAATTCATTGTTAACAAAAAAGTTAATTCCTCCTTATTTCTAAAAATTTCAAGATTTTAATAAATATTTTTTATGATAACTGTTCAGACGTGGTTTCCTCAATGATCCATCGACTTGGTGAATTTAAACGCAGTACTAGTTTTGGGAGTTAGTTACAAAACTAGTACTTCGCTTAAATTCGCAAAGTCCATGGACCAAAGAAGAAAGCTTAGCTGAACAGTTATTATAAAAAAAATATTTATTAGTCAGGGAAAGTGAGTGAAGCTTAGATTCCACGTTAGGACCAATAACATTGCAGATTCTTCTTTGGGCTTATGGCCACATGGCGCTGAAACACTGGTTCACGTACGATCACTGCTTGGGAAGAGCAGGTGCATTAAGCTTGAATACGCGGGTAATGTGATAGATAATGACAAGAAATTTTTAATCTGAGAACCGAATATCGACTGCCATACTAATACTTCACCCCAAATTATGCCTAATAGTCGAAGAAAAGCGATTTGTTTATGGGATTTTTTCAGAAAGATCATCAGAGAAATCAGATGTGCTTTCTCCTTAAAGATAACGCCCTTGAAAAACCATTAGTTCTTACTCTTTTTTCTTTCCTAAATTCCATTCAAGGTCGTGGATGACAGTCGAATTAATATTGATGAATAAAGCGTGCGTTACGAATGAAAGAGAGGATGGTTGGAAGTGGAGATCATTAGGATAAAAAAAGTTTATTAACGATTAAGCCTTGACTTCAAAAGATCAAGATTAATGTGTTCACAGAGGCACTCAAGCGGGAATCCGTTCTTGGGAGAAAGCTAAATAAAAATTTCTTCTTATATTTTGTATCAAGTTACCTTTAAACCAACAAACACTTTTATTCACTCACAAAAATCTACTTACTAAGATCCCCCAAGGGCGTATAGCTCATTGTATAAAAGCGTTGTTTGGTTGCTTGGTCCGAAAGTGATGAGATCTAAGGAGTAATGAATGTGGCCACAGCAGATAGAATGAAACGTGTGTTATCAAGAGGAATTAAGTGAAACTGAGTTAGTTTGCTGAGGATTAATGAAAAGGCCCTCTATTTATATGCAATTCGGGAGAAAGGTCAAAATATTTTTATTCTTCAATGTGATATTGCTGTTAAAATCTGATCCGTAAATAATTGTTTTTCTACTAATCGGCAAAAATGAAAAGTAATTTTTTTTTTTCGTTTTAGTCTTCCGTAGGAAGATTGTGCGTGTAGCATACCGATTATCCACTCGCATACTGGATTCGGTGGGCCGAGACCAAATTCTTATAATTAAATACAATATAAGAATAAATAATTAATTAATAAGGAGAAATAATAGCCAGGCGTTAGCCGAAGCAGTTGCAGTAAGAAAAGAGAAACGATGGGAAAAGAGTTCAAGCCTAATAGCAGGCAGGGTTAGTAGCCAACAGGAAATAATTTCAACGTTCAAAGCTCTCAGTTCTAGGTTCATGATTGCTCCACGAGACTTGTGGTTAAAAAATTGGTTCGAGAATTTTGATAACATAGTAACCATGAGTTGAGTTTCTTAACAGAATAGTACTTAGACTTAGTGGGGACAGACCGTAAACAGTACCAAGTAAGAGAGAGACGAACAGTGTTAAGTAAGGGAGAGAGACAAAAAGTACTAAATAAAAGAGAGAGAGTGAGAGAGAGAGAGAGAGACGAAAAGTACTAAGTAAAAGAGAGAGAGAGAGAGAGAGAGAGACTAACAGTACTAAGTAAGAGAGAGATAGAGACGAGATATACTTAAATATGAACAGTGGATCAACCAAAATCTACTTTTTGATTAAATAAAGATTTCAATTCGAAATTTTATAAAACTTACTAGGGTTGACGGGAAACTGAAAAAGGTCGAATGATACAACGACCGAAATGTTGTGTTAATGAAAGGGGAAGTCATTACGAAAATAACAGAAGTAGATGGTATCAAACTTTTACGGAAAAACGGCTAAAATTTAAACAAATTTACTTGCGGTAAAGAGGGTACCCTTTTGAAAATTGTATTACATTTTCTTATTAATATTAATAATGAATTGTTCTCTTTTTGCCTTGAGAATATCAACAAGTAGGGACTTATTTGCAAAAATATGTTAATAGAAATATAGAAACAGATAAATTCTTTCTGTTTGCTTTTTAGTTTCATTTCCTATTCCAGCACTAAATATTTGCCAAGCGTATACACTTGTCGGCTCCAGTTAAGGAAAATATCACTTCAGGCAGAAATGCCATTTCAATTCAAGAGAGGTGTCCGCTGAGATGCATTTTAAAAGATGCTTTTAACTGACGACAATTTCAAAGAATTTGAGAATTCAGCCATAATTCAAAAATCTTTGGCAAACATGCAATTGATAAAATGGACAAGAGGTGAAGTCAACTAAATTCTAAACAATTCCGAGAGGAATAGCTATAAAGAGGAGTAAATAAAAAAAAGGCTCCTTTTTATAGCTATGGTGGATGCGTTTATGGAATATAAACTCCTGAAATGTTATGAAGAATGAAGAATGTTATGAAGATATGACTAGCCTGCTAATCTTACTCATCATTGTCAGAGCTGTGAGCTCATTACTGATCGTAGGAGCCTTTTGCCAGAATAGGTTATGCACAGAATATTATCTAAAGGGTGACCTGTTAAAAAAAGTGACAAATTTATTATCACTGTTTTATATTTCAGGAATAATTAACCTTGAATAACCTTGAATAAATTTCTTGAATATTCATGACCTTGAATAATCACTTAACTTTCGCGTAATTGCTTAATTCTGATTGGTTCTTTTATAATTGTTTAATTGCTGCTCGATCTTGTGACTCGTCACTTAAAGGGTATTTGAAGAGAACTTTCGTCTTTCGTTCTGCCCTTCTCATAGGGCTAAACATCTCATGGATTTTGAGCGTCAAGTGATCGCACTTTTCAAACAACATCCGATGTGGAGACTGAAGAAATATTCAGAAATTCAGTATCTGTCTATATTTCTGAAGAAGGCCGGAGCGTACAAGAACCGAAACGTTGTAATAAATATGGCGACAAATATGAGGACAATAGTCCGAATAATGTAAACAATATGCAGAAATTCTTACCTAATTTTTCAGTCATGTCAGTCTTCTCAATTTTCAATGGTTGTTTCACGTCTTTCGGAAATGACCAATTTTTAATTTGTCAACATTTGATTGATTCATTCATTTTTTTACGCTTTAGCAACGTGTTAAAATGTTATTTAAAGCCTGAAAATATTTTCAGATTTTTAGAATATTTTTTTAGATAATAATGAAATATTACTAATTAACCAATAGATGTAGGACAAGGTGTGGATTCATGCCTTTACCAAGGGTCTTTGCACGTAACTGAATATAACGAACCTAACAATTACGAGCCATTATCACATACACAAATCGCACGCCCAAGCTTACCGCACATGATATTCCAAAGAGCTTACCGATCTAAATACTGACCAGGCTCGACATTGCTTAACTTTGGTGACCGTAAGGAAACCGGCGTTTTAACTTTGTATTACAGTAAGCTATTCAACCTGCATATCAAAGCTTACAGCACCTGGTCACCCTTTTAGGTACTGACCAGGCTCGACATTGCTTAACTTTGGTGACCGTAAGGGGACCGGTGTTTCAGTGTGATATAATCGTAAGCTATTCAGCCTGCGCATCAAATCTTACAGCAATATGTATTTTCAAGCAGTCACCCATGAATAGGTTTAACGTTGCTTAACTTCGTACGGCAACCAGTGTTTAAACTTGACGTGGCCGTAAGCTATCAAGCCTGTACATCCAAGATTACATCACTAAGTATTCCCAAGCGGTCAACTATCTTAGCACTGACCAGGGTTACGTTGCTTAACTTCGGTGATCGGAAGGGTACCGGTATTTTAACCTGATGTGGTTGTAAGCTATCCAAACTGAACATCAGAGGTTACAGCGGTCACTTTTTTAGGTACTGACCAGGCTCGACGTTGCTTAACTTCGGTGATCATACAGCAACCAGTGTTTCAACGCGACCTGCCGTAATCCTAAACTGATTGTATTTATTACAGAAAGTCTATTTTTGTGTTTTAAAAGCGATTATTCATATCCGCTATTTGTTAAATTTTAAATTTATTTGATATGAGCAGTTTTTAATGCTAGACAATCTCCTCGTAGATGAGCCAACTCGTTCTACAGAAGGATACTGAGAATATCATTCAGCCAATAGGTGAGTAACGACGAAATTTTACAATAAATGAAAAAAAAAGTAGACTTACATAAATGTAAGTGTACTTTTGTTATTCCTTTACTGTAAAACAGTAAAAAGACAGTTGGAATTTCTAAGTTGCATAAGGAGAAAAGAAGGCTTAGTAAATTTGAAACTCACAGGGTATATAGAAGGCAACAAAGACAGGGGAATGAAGCGTATAATCAACATAACTTGGGTAAATGGTTGGAATTAGAAGTAATAGCAAAAAGCCAAAAATAAGTGACAGTTACAAACGACAAGAAGTTGTGGAGAGTCATGATCGCTACCTCCTGAATGACACGGCACATAGAAAAAGAAAGTTGAAATATAAATACTAATATGAATAAAACGACATAAATAAAACGAAATGTAAAAAAAATCTGTAAAAAGTAATCGACTGGAAAATAAATTGGATATATGAAAATAATATATAGCTATTGATAGACATAAAATTACATAATTTAACAAGTCCTGGGTATGACGATGAATTACATCCTGCAGCAAGACCTCTGATTATGAGATTGGAGTTTTTGAAGAGTGCGGGCCTACTCCTGCTGTTACTCACAGGCCCACCCTGACCCATCTGTTAGGGTCCCAGCTCTAAGAAAATAGTGAATCCCCAAACAAAAACAATACTTAAAAGTATATTAAAAATACAAGCAATATATTTTGATATATAAAAATATACTAACAATACCTATGTATAGTAAAGAATTAGCAACAATATATTTTATCAGTATTTTATCGGCATACATTTACGTTTAAACTATTTAGTTTTCGGCATTAAATAAGCTATAGAGGTGGATATGCCGCTAAACAAAATCAACCAGCATATAATTTAACCTAGATCAAGATGAACTGAATTTATTTCCTTTTATTATAGAATATATATTAGGTTCTTACATATAATCGTTCGTTTTTTTCTAGCGTTCTGTGAATGATCCTGAAGAATAATCTTTCGTATCATTTATTGCTTTTTTGTGAAATATTTGTTTAACGTTACTGAAAATTTATTTCAGCTTAGATAGCCCTTTGAGATGAAATACCAACCAGACAAGAATGAGCATGTTTGGTATCATCGCTTTGCTTTTAATCAAAGTCAAAAAGCTGATAAAGACAGTTGTGCAGTGTACGGAAATGACTTCATTACCGACAGAATAACACAGAAAATATTTTCATCTTTCAAGGAGAGGAAGTTCAAACTTCTATATTCTCCGCGTTCTAGCTGACCTGTTCAGTTTGATGAGAACCAATTGTACACGCTGATTAAAGAAGAGTCACAAATGATCACTAAGGAATTGGCTCAGAAAATGGCAAGATCTCATGTTATTGTCACTCGTCATCTTCACTCAGTCAGTAAGGTCCACAACAACCAGACGCTCAATGCTAAGCTGCATAAAAAAAAATTGGCTCAATGAAGCAATACAGCAAAAAAGACCTTACCGACGATACAGAATGGTTATTCAAGAGGACAATGCAAAACTTAGCGATTCGTAAATGGAGATGCCTCAGTGGAAGATGGCGGCCGTCGTGTACAACACATGCCAAACGGAACGCAGAAGCAAAGCCGTGTAACTATGTTGATAATATAAAATAATAGTGATAAATAATATATATTAAAATAAAGCATAATATATTTTTAAAAATCCACATTACAAACAAAAACGTTTGCGGTGTCTCTCTTCTTTTTATTATAGACACTTTTATCTCGGTGGACCTATTATAACCTCTTCCCTTTATATATATATATATATATATATATATATATATATATATATATATATATATATATATATATATATATATATATAATAACATATCAACATATATATATATATATATATATATATATAAAATTCCCAAGAGCATAGAATCCAGGTAGAATTCAATGTCCAGGACAGATTAAGAATATTATATAAAAGGCCCAAACACTAACATTCCATGGTTAAATTTATTACTTTGGAATCGTAATCCCGATCCAAACCATCATTTTGAATTTGTAGGCCTGCTCATTTGGATTGTGATTACGATTCCAAAGTAATAAATTATAACCAAGGAATATTAGTGATTGAGATTCTATATTACATATATATATATATATATATATATATATATATATATATATATATATATATATATTAGGTCAAGCCAGATCTGACATTCATGAGTCTATCCAGTTAACGATTACGGTTCTGGATTCAGGTCGGAAGATCATTAGGTTGGCATTTTGTGCCATAACATAGCTGGTCAATGTAGAGGTTTCCTGGATGAGTAATCCGTCTTGCTCCTTAGCTATGTGTCCAGAGCAGTAGATCACTCGCGAGTTCTTGATTTGCACGCTAGCAATGTCGTGCAAACCGCATTCTGCGTCCGCGTAAGATTGTAAAAATCTCAGGGATGTCGCCATAGAATTTTGATTTAGATGGATATTAATTATAGCTCTCAGCATTCGAATGCAAGTTCCATCAAGCACACACTCAATGGTTTTAGGCAATGTCCAAGCAGTGGCACCATAGATTATAAACGCTTCTACCGTGTCGCAAAATAAGCTCCATTTGAGGTTGTCTGGTAGATCAGATTTCTAGATTACATCCATTTTATTTAAAGTGGCTCAGGTTTTAGCTATGCAAATTTTCACATACTTTTTCAGTAGAATTTATTTCGCTTTCTATATATGTAAAATATTTCACAGATGTTCTTGATTCACCTGACATAGTTTGAACCTTGCTGGTTGATGTCTATGAATTCAGTTTTAGTTGTATTTCTATAGATTCCAACATCGTTAGCAGCATTTTTTCAAGATGTTGTAAACGAACTGTGGGATTAGTAATGGTGTCTGTAATGATGTCTAGGTCATTTATATAGTCAATATATGTCAACTTGTTTCAGGATATCAAGGAAACTCTTGATACAAAGTAAAACCTCAGTGGAGAAATATTATCATTTAGATAAATAATGGTTGCCTTGGGGTTTGATTATAATAATCAGTATTCCTGTAGAAATTGGTTTTCCTTTTATGCAATTTATCCCGATGCCAAACAGACATTATGAGGATTTGAAGCCAGACAAGTCATTGGATTATTGATGACCATTTATCAATAAACGGCGCTTCCTTCCTCATAAATTTGATGAATGGATCGTGAGATTAGCCAAATCAAGGTGTCAAATAGAATGCCATTCTTATCTTTTAGTATGGATTTTTTAATATAGAAATCGATTAATTAAAGAAGATATATTTGCATTAATCTCATGAGTTTTTTTTTCTCTTCCTATATGAATATTTCTGTGTAATTGAATGCTTTACAATACTTTTATTATTTAAAAAGCTTAGATTCGGATGTAATTAATCACAGCTAAGTAAACTGTGACCCACCAGTCTTCCAAGGAAAATGGAAGGCTGGTGCGACACAATCTTCCTGCTTATCCTTAAACATCATCATTGAAACAAACTGTATATTTACGCAATACTCCAAAAATTCAAATACTGTCATATGAAGGCAGGAGCTAGTGAGACCTAACTTTACAGACACTTTTTTATCATTTCACCCCAAGCAAGGTAATCATACAACTAAGCTGTAAGGAATTACTGGGAGTAAAAGAAAATGAGAAGACGTTAGGACAAGTAACCTGGAACACAATCCTAAGCAAGAAACAAAGGAGAAATTCTACTCTTGTTGAAAAGACGTTTAAGGAGTGTGAACCGGGCGACTGATAGAATACAAGATATTTTAAGCGGCCTTGTGGGTAATGAATTTTTATCCATCTTATAACCCCTTTCCAACAGATATTACTAACCTCTTGATGTTCTTTCACTATTTTCATTGTGTATGTCCAAATGAACTACATACTTTCGTCTCACCAGTTCAGACCTTTACATTTTTATTCCATCTTATTATTGTTACTTTTAATACCAAAGGTTTGAGTCTTCAATATTACTTTGATTTTATTACTAGTTTGACGCCATCCTATCGATGCTGCATCGACACGATTTTTGTCACGTCCCTGACCAAAGAAGTTGGCGGGATCGAGAAGCCGAAATTGCCACGGAAAAAAAGGTTTTTTAACTATGAAAATTAAACTTAGTGAAGGTAAAATAATATAATTGTTATTTTTTTGGTAATGTTCAGTTAAAGGTGGGTAAGGAGGGGAAAATTATAAATCAAAATGATTGCCAGCAACAGTAAACAAAGAACATCAAATATTTTAGTCTCCTTTCGTTATGGTGTGAGAACCGTTGTTGGGACGAGAGACAATGACAGGTTCTGACTTTTGCACTGTTAAAAAAGGAAAAGATAATAAAAGAAAGTAAATCAATTTATGGATTGATTCAGGGTTAGTCACCTTCCTTTTTCTTTTTTGATATCTTTTGCGAGAGTTTATCACCGATGTCGAAAGGGATTACTGATTAGATAAGAAATCAAATTTTATCAGAAATTCAACCCAAACAAGAATAGTGCACTGGACAGACAAGACCAACATAGATAAGGTCGGAAATCAATAAGAATTTTGATAAGAAGTCTTCTCCACCGCCCGTAACATTTGACCTCAATAGCAAACAGCTCGAAATTAGAAAAGAATTCGAACCCCACTCCACGGTTAACCATCATTCATTTACGCCGCCTCCATAGCTTCTACTGAAATCCCTGTTATTCTATATTCCCTCGAGTTCTTTC